AACCCAGGAGGCAGAAGTTGTGAGCTGAGATCACGCCACTGCACTCTAGCCTAAGCAAAAAGAGCAAAACTCCGTCTCAAGAAAAAAAAAAAAAAAAAAAAAAAATTCTTAAACCAAAACTAGACATTGGTAGCACAGTAGAAGACAGATTAAGATAAAAAGAATTGGCTGGGCACAGTGGCTGACGCCTGTAATCCCAGCACTTTGGGAGGCCGAGACAGGTAGATCACCTGAGGTCGAGAGTTTGAGACCAGCCTGACCAACTTGAAGAAACTCTGTCTTTACTAAAAATACAAAAAAATTAGCCAGACATGGTAGCGCACATCTGTAATCCCAGCTTAAACCTGGAAGACAGAGGTTGCAGTGAGCCAAGATCGTGCCATTACACTCCAGCCTAGGCAACAAGAGCAAAACTCCATCTTAAAAAAAAAAAAAAAAAAAAAGTCAAGGTGCAGTGGCTCACACCTATAATCCCACCACTTTGGGAGGCCGAGGTGAGCGGACTGCCTGAGGTGAGAAGCTCCAGACAAGCCTGGCTAACATGGAGAAACCCTGTGTCTGCTAAAAATACAAAAACTAGCTGGATGTGGTGGTGTGTGCCTGTAATCCCAGCTACTCAGGACACTGAGGTAGGAGACGTGCTTGAACCTGGGAAGGGGAAGCTACAGTGAGCCAAGATTGCCCCACTGCATTCAAGCCTGGGTGACAGGGAGAGACTCCATCTCAAAAAAAAAAAAAAAAAAGTCAAGAAATAGACATGCAGCAGGAAGATGGGGTGGAAGTAACAGAGGCGGGAGAGAGCGAGAGAGCGAGCGATCGAGACAGCGAGCGAGTCAGGGTGGTGCGTGGCTTATGCCTATAATCCCAGCACTCTGGGAGGCCAAGGTGGATGGATCACTTGAGGCCAGGAATTCAAGACTAGCCTGGCCAACAACACATGGTGAAGGCTGAAAAAAGGAAAGAAATGGATGCACATCTATCGACGTATAAGAGAGGTGAGATATTTCAGGTAAAAGGGGAAGGAACAGAAGATGCTGGAATAATTGGACTTTAAATAGAAAAGAATGTATCTGGCTGGACGTGGTAGCTGACGCCTGTAATCCCAGCACTTTGGAGGCCAAGGTGGGCGGATTGGAAAAAACGGAATTTGATATTGAATGTGACCAGAATGGCTACACATAGCTACGTGCCCATATCACTAAGAGGAGTACAGAGTGACACAAATACTTTCAAGAGTGTTTCGGCAAAAACCGTTGACACCACAGAACTGAGTCTCCAGTAGTCTGCAAAGCTGTATCATAATTGAGTAAGTCTGTTCAACATAACAAAATGGCTGAAGCCATTCTGTTCTCTGAAAGAGGAAGGGTGAACAGGTGGGGACGGTGTTCCCATGGTTAACCTGGCTGATGGCTGAGGGGCATCTCCTGGTTCAGACCATCCTAACCAGGCAGCCTGCTGTTTGCTAATAGAGCTCCCATGCAATTGCATGTAAGTCAAGAGTACACCCAGACAGGACTAATGCTGACAACCCAAAGGACACATTTCTATTTTTTTTTTTTTTTGAGATGGAGTTTCGCTCTTGTTACTCAGGCTGGAGTGCAATGGTGCGATCTTGGCTCACCGCAATCTCTGCCTCCTGGGTTCAAGCAATTCTCCTGCCTCAGCCTCCCAAGTAGCTGGAACTACAGGCACACGCCACCAAGTCCAGCTAATTTTTTGCATTTTTAGTAAAGATGGGATTTCACCATGTTGACCAGGATGGTCTCGATCCTTGACCTCGTGATCCACCCACCTCAGCCTCCCAAAGTGCTGGGATAATAGGCGTGAGCCACTGCGCCCAGCACCCAAAGAACACGTTTCTATCTGCAATTGTGATTCTAGGATTACAAGCATCATCAGCAGTGGCCAATGCCTGTAATCCTAACACTTTGGGAGGCTGAGGTAGGAGGATTGCTTGAGCACAGGAGTTTAAGACCAACCTGGGAAACATGGCAAAACCCCTTCTCTACAAATAACACAAAAATTAGGCAGTTGTGGTGGCATACATCTGTAGTCCAAGCTGCTCCGGAGGCTACAGGAGCCTCTAGAGGTGGGAGGATCACCTGAGCCCTCCCACTGAGTCAAAATGGTGTCACTGCACTCCAGCCTGGGTGAGACCCTGTCTCAAAAAGAAAAATAAGGCCGGGTGCAGTGGCTCACGCTTGTAATCCCAGCACTTTGGGAGGCCGAGGCAGGCGGATCATGAGGTCAAGAGATTGAGACCATGCTGGCCAACATGGTGAAACCTCATCTTTACTAAAAATATAAAAATTAGCTGGGCATGGTGGCGTGCGCCTGTAGTCCCAGCTACTCGGGAGGCTGAGGCAGAAGAATCGTTTGAACCTGGTGGAGGTTGCAGTGAGCCAAGGTCACAGCATTGCACTCCAGCCTGGCAATAGGGCAAGACTCTGTCTCAAAAAACAAACGAAACAAAAAAATTTAAAAAAAAGAAAAAATTGTGATCTACATGAGGTCAAAAGATTGAGACCAGCCTGGCCAACATAGTGAAACCCCATCTCTACTAAAAATACAAAAATTAGCTGGGCGTGGAGGCCGTGCCTTGTAGTCCCAGCTACTTGGGAGGCTAAGGCAGGAGAATTGCTTGAATCCGGAGGCGAAGGTTACAGTGAGCCGAGATTGAGCCATTGCACTCCAGCCTGGTGATACAGTAAGACTATGTCTCAAAAAAAAAAAAAAAAAAAAAAAAAAAAAAAAAAAATTGTAATCTAACCGATGCTGGATGGCTTGCCCAGAAGATGCCATGAGGGCGAGTGGTAAATGCTGAGAAGGCTGCCTGGCTGTCCCCTCTTCCGCGACACCTGCACCAGTCAGCGTTTCTCAAGGCCCCCACCTTGCTGTAACATACTACCTACTGTGAATGGGCCCATACTCCCTGGGCAAAGCAGGATGCTGATGCTTCCTGGGAGGTGAGAGCATGTAAAGCAAGATGTGCTTTTCTGCCTTTGTCTCGTTCTTTCTTTTTCACCTGTGATATGGTTTGGCTCTGTGTCCCCATCCAAATTGCATGTGAAACTGAAGACTCAGCCTGGTGGGAGGAGACTGGGTCATGGGGGCGAATTTCCCCCTTGCTATTCTCGTAATAGCGAGGGAGTCCTCATGAGGTCTGGTTGTTTGCAAGTGTGCGGTACCTCCCCCTTCACTTGCCCTCTCCTGCTGCCACGTGAAGACATGCTTGCTTCCCCTTCGCCCTTCTGCCATGATTGTTAAGTTTCCTGAGGCCTCCCCAACCATGTTTCCCGTAGAGCCTGAGGAACTGGGAGTCAATTAAATCTCTCTGCTTTATAAGTTACCCAGTGCCAGGTACTTCTTTATAGCAGTGCGAGAATGGACTAATACAACCTGTCTCACGGAATGACAAGAGGCACCTCTAGTTCTGCATAGGAGGTCTGCTGGGACGAGCTAGGAAGGAGCTTTGGGAATTTATACTTCCTTGGAGTGTCTCTGCCTTGTCTCAAGCTGATAGGTCTACTAGAACATAACTCCCGTTTCCGAAAACATGCCGCAGAGGCAGAACAGCATGAACTCCAGCTCTGTGCTGCTTGCATGATCTCCATCACTAGTGTTACCTGACCTCACCAGGCAGAGGCCCCGCTTAAGCCACAGGAGCCTGAGGGGTGGTGCCAGCCCCCCGCCACTGTCTGAGCATCGTTAAGGGAGCATGAAGGCCGGGTGCGGTGGATCATGCCTGTAATCCCAATATTTGGGAGGCCAAGGCGGGTGGATCGCCTGAGGTCAGGAGTTCAAGACCAGCCTGACCAACAAGGAGAAACCCCATCTCTACCAAAAATACAAAATAACCTGGGTGTGGTGGCACATGCCTGTAATCCCAGCTACTCAGGAGCCTAAGGCAGGAGAATCGATCGAACCCAGGAGGCGGAGGTTGCAGTTCCGACATCACACCATTACACTCCAGCCTGGGCAACAAGAGTAAAACTCCGTCTCAAAAAAAAAAAAAAAAAAAAAATGGAGACAGCATGAAATTGATTGATGGAGAGGTTTGGAAGAAGGTCAAAGAGAGATGTTAGCAACACAGGGAAAAGGTTGAGATGTGCATCCGATGTCCCTGCAGAGGCTTCTGTGCAGGAAGCCAGGCCTCATCTCAACCTCCTCCAGGTCGGCTCCCCAGCATCAGCAAATGCCCTGAATGCCTTACCTTATTAAGGTTCAGAACGCGGAAGAAGTCCTTGGCATTTTGCTGGGAAAGTTGGACTCCTTCCTCTGCAGTCACACAGCTGTCGCATGCCAGGCAGTCACTCAAAAATATCTTGGCATCAGCCAACTTGTGGAATTCTCCCTTCTATCAAAAAAAGACGTTTTTGTGTGATTATTCAACAAATGCTCTTGAATGTGTTTCTTAGAGAGGGTAAACATCCATTTACAGAATTCACAGTAAACACTGGAGACAATACCAACGGCCAGGCCTGGTGCCCAAGGGGCTGGAAGCAGGACAGTCTCTGCCACTGAGCAACTCAAGGTGGTGGTGGAGCACAGGGCCCAGCCCATGATGACACTAGGGAGCCATGCAGATGACAAGGGTGGAATCCGACCCTAGCACTGTCATGAGGTAGGAAGTAAATGACACTTCTGTGTTCTGGAAGCTGACCCCACTGGCCCTTCCCTCCTCCTAGACCCCTTCCTATTCAGTGCCTGTGATCCAGCCTCTGAACACTCCTCTAGATTACCGTCCAACAGCTCCCTGAGGCTGCCCACAGCCCTGGCCTCTCCCTCGAGGCTCAGAATTTGTACAACTCAGTGCTGGCTCTGGGTTTGCACTTGGACATGTAACAAGATGCTCATCCTCACCTGGATGCAGAGTCACTCTTTGATGCCCTCCACCCTCTCCTTCCTGACTGGCCCCTGTGTCCCCCAACATCTGCTAAAACATAAACCACACCTCTGCTCAGACAGTTGCCCCTCACAGAGGACCTGAGCACAGCCAGAGGCCCCTGTCCTCCTGGGTCCCATCATAGCCCCTTTGAGCTGCACACGTCCAACCCACTGGCCCCTGCTGTTCTTGCCATCCCTGAGCATGAAGCGCTCCATGAGAGCCCAGGCCCACCCTGGGGGCCTTCAGCAGAGAGGATAACACCACCCCCCTCACCCATCTCTTCCCTCCCCACCCATTTGTTTTCATGTAGCTGACTGCTAGCAGCTGTCTGTCCCCCTCCTTGGTACAATGTAATCTCGTGAGAGTTCTTCGAACACTGTCTTGTTTTCTTGTTCCCCAGCATCTCCAAGAGGTACTGTGCACAGAAGGTGCTCAAAAAGTTACTGGTGAATGCACATATGAATGCTCTGAAGCTTACTGGAGTAATGCCAACAAATCACAGAAGCTCCTCAGGTCGTCCATGCATTTTTCTTTAAAACATGATTTGACAGGAGACAGCTGTGGATGTGCCTCTTCCTACCATAGCATGCTATGAACGGCAGCTCAGGTCACCTCTGCCTCCTGCCTACGCATGACCCCATGTCCCTGTGAAGCCTACTCACCCTGGGATCTTATTTTGATGCAGATGGATACTCAAGAGGTCCGCATGAGGCTCTACAGTTTGTGCTTCTAACAAGCTCCAAGTGGGTCTAAGCAACTGTTCCACTCCAAGCGTCTGGTGCCTGTAGCTGCACGAATTCTGCCTCCACAGGCCATGCCCATCGAGGTGCCCATGACCAAACTGTACCCCCCACCCAGCAGTGCCTCCTCCCTGCCTTGCCACCAGACATGCTGTGGATACCCTCGTCCTTGCAGACAAGTTTTCATGGTCCAGGTCTGATTCCCACCTCACTTCTCACGTTCTTTCTTCTTACCCCTGCCTTCCACACTGGCACGTTCTGCAGAAGGCTGCTCCCTTTTATCAGGCCCGCTGGCCTCACTCTGCCCAGGGCAGCCTGGCCACCTGCACTTCCAACAGTGCTCTCCTCTCCAAACCCCGGACTCACACACTATAGAAGGCCCACTGTGCACGGAGCTCAACTTCACTCCCTTCCCTGCACTATTTCCTCCTGTCTCTGCCCCTCTGGCAGACTTGCCCAGGCCCACCACCACACCAAGGATCTCAAAGCTGCCACCACGTGGCTTCCTGCAATTCTTCCCCTACTCCATCCAGCTTAAGTCGGTTGCCTCACCTGCTCTAAAACAAACACCTGAGTCATCCCCACACACAGTCCCCACAGCTCTGCACCGTCACTGACCTGGCCAAGGGTAGCCACTGTCCCACCCCAGAGCATGTCTGTCCACACCCTCCTCTTGCCTGGAGTGCCAGTGCCCTTCCCTACATTCCCACCCTGAATTCTGACCACCCTTCAGGGTCCACTCCATTAACTCCAACCCAACTCCTCTGACCCTAATTGTGCCTACCGCTGATCTGGCAGGGCGCCCACTCAGGCTGTGTACAGGCATTATCTCATCCTCACCACAGTCCTGGGAGGGAAGTAACCCTACTCCCCATGCCTCTGATAAAGACATGAGGCGCACAGGGGTTAGACATCTGTCCAAGATGACACAACCAGAGGGCAGATGTAGGAGGCCCTGGGTCCAGCCACTCAGGTGCACTGGCCCCAGCTGGCTCCAGGGCTCCAATGCACCCTCTCTCCCGCCTGTGCCAGCATTTTGGGTGCTTGTCTCAAGCCCTGCTGTTCCTTAAGCCCCACAGTCCCCACAGCACTAGCACACAGGGCAACCAGAAGAATACCTGTCAGATTAAACACAGCAAAACTACTAAACCTAAGGAGAAAATATGCTTCTGCCATATTGCCAACTCTGCATTAATAAATTGGTCCTAGTTCTTTTAAGGGTAGAGTGACCTTAGCCTCTCCCAACACCCTTCACTCAGTAAAACAGGGATAACGACAGGGCTTCGTGTAACGCTTCTGGGCATGAAATGAGACTGTATGTAAAATCACATTTTTTTTTTTGAGATGGAATTTCACTCTTGTTGCCCAGGCGTGATCTTGGCTCACCACAACCTCTGCCTCCTCGATTCAAGCGATTCTCCTGCCTCAGCCTCCCGAGTAGCTGGGATTATAGGTATGCGCCACCACGCCTGGCTAATTTTATTTTTTTCTTCAGACAGAGTCTTGCTCTGTTGCCCAGGCTGGAGTGGCACAATCTCAGCTCACTGCAACCTTGGCCTCCCAGGTTCAAGCAGTTCTCTGCCTCAGCCTCTCATGTAGCTGGGATCGCAGGCGCTCGCCACCACACCTGGCTAATTTTTTGTATTTTTAGTAGAGATAAGGCTTTACCGTCTTGGCCACGCTAGTCTTAAGCTCCACAGCTTGTGATCCACCTGCCTCGGCCTCCCCAAGTGCTGGGATTACAGGTGTGAGCCACTGTGCCCGGCCTAATTTTGTATTTCTAATAGAGACAGGGTGTATCTATGTTGGTCAGGCTCGTCTCAAACTCCCGATCTCATGTGATTCTCCCACCTCGGCCACCCAAAGTGCTGGGATTACAGGCGTGAACTACCACACCTGGCCATAAAATCACACTTTTTTTTTTTTTTTTTTTTGAGACGGAATTTCACTCTTGTTACCCAGGCTGGAATACAATAGCACGATCTCGGCTTACTGCAACCTCCGCCTCCTGGGCTCAGGCAATTCTCCTGCCTCAGCCTCCTGAGTAGCTGGGACTACAGGCTGCGCCACCACGCCCAGCTAATTTTTGTATTTTCAGTAGAGATAGGGTTTCACCATGTTGACCAGGATGGTCTCGATCTCTTGACCTCGTGATCCACTCACCTTGGCCTCCCAAAGTGCTGGGATTATAGGCGTGAGCCACCGTGCCCAGCAAAATCACATTCTTGAGAGCCAGGCTCAGAGTACATATCCAATAAACAGAAACCATCACTACTAGCTAAGAAGAATTTAAAAACGAGAACTGAACTAGAATAGAAAAGAGGCTGGGTGCAGCGGCTCACACTTGTAATCCCAGCACTTTGGGAAGCTGAAGCGGGTGGGTCACCTGAGGTCAGGAGTTTGAGACCAGCCTGACCAACAGGTGAAACCCCATCCCTACTAATTTTGTATTAATTAATAGGGATGGGGTTTCACCATGTTGGTCAGGCTAATTAAAACAAAATTAGTAGGGATGGGGTTTCACCATGTTGGTCAGGCTAATTAATACAAAATTGGTAGGGATGGGGTTTCACCATGTTGGTCAGGCTAATTAATACAAAATTAGTAGGGATGGGGTTTCACCATGTTGGTCAGGCTAATTAATACAAAATTAGTAGGGATGGGGTTTCACCATGTTGGTCAGGCTAATTAATACAAAAAATTACCCAGGCATGGTGGTTTGTGCCTGTAATCCCAGCTACTTGGGAGACTGAAGCAGGAGAATTGCTTTAACCTGGGAGACGAAAGTTGTAGTCAGGTGAGATCATGCCACTGTACTCCAGCCTGGGCAACAAGAGTAAGACTCCATCTCAAAAAAAAAAAAAAAAAAAGGGAAACCACTAGAAAAATTAACTACAGAATCATGAAATTTGAGTTGTTTTATAAATTACCCATCTCAATACCCATTTTATAAAATGCAGTTTCCTATTTTAAAAAAATCAGCTGGGACTGGGTGTAGTAGCTCATGCCTATAATCCCAGCACTTCAGGAGGCTGAGGCAGGAGGATCATTTAGCCCAGAAGTTCAAAACCAGCCTGGGCAACACAGTGGAACTCCATCTCTGCCAAAAAATAAAAATAAATTAGCTGGGCCTGCTGGTGCATACCTGTAGTCCCAACTACTAGGGACGCTGAGGCAGGAGAATCACATGAGCCTGGGAGGTTGAGGCTGCAGTGAGCCACTGCACTCCAGCCTGGGTGACAACGAGACCCCGTCTCAAAAGGGGGTAAAAAATAAAAGAAAAAAGAAATTCAATGTCACACCACATTTTCTTTGCTCCTAAAGCAGCATATTTTGCTGTAGTGTGCTCTGACAAAACAGGCCTTGTGCCACCAACTGACTGTCTTGCTCATGCAGTTATTAGGCCCTTAAAAGTTTTACTTCCGTCTTTTTTTTTTTTTTCTGAAACAGAGTCTCACTCTGTCGCCCAGGCTGAAGTACAGTGGCGCGACGTCAGCTCACTGCCACCTCCGCCTCCCAGGTTCAAACAATTCTCCTGCCTCAGCCTCCTGAGTAACTGGGATTACAGGCATGCACCACCACACCCAGATCATTTTTGTATTTTTGGTAGAGATGGGGTTTCACCACGTTGGCCAGGCTGGTCTCAAATTCCTGACCTCAAGTGATCCACCTGCCTTGGCCTCCGAAAGGGCTGGGATTACAGGCATGAGCCACCACATTAGCCATAGTTCAGTCTTCTTTAAAGCAGTGATGTACATGGTGTTGTGAGTCCCCAAAGAGAAATACAGTAGTAACAAGTTACCCTGGGCTGATATAAAACTGAAAAATCTACTTGCCTCTCCATTTTCCTGGGCTGGACTTGGTGCATCAGCTGACAGAGACTCTTGGTCATCAGTTTTTGTTTTCTTACTACATTCCTTAAAAAAGCAAAGAAACATTATTAACAAACTTTTAATTTGTCTCCATTGAGAAAAAGTGCACACTGGCCAGGTGCGGTGGCTCACACCTGTAATCCCAATGCTTTGGGAGGCCTAGGCGGGCGGATCACCAGGTCAGGAGATGGAAGCCATCCTGGCTAAGACAGTGAAACTCTCTCTCTACGACAAATACAAAAAATTAGCCAGGTGTGTTGGCAGGTGCTTGTATTCCCAGCTACTCCTAAGGCTGAGGCAAGAGAATCGCTTGAACCAGGGAGGTGGCGGTTACAGTGAGCCAAGATCGTGCTACTGCACCCCAGCCTGGGTGACAGGGGGAAACTGTCTCAAAAATAAAAAAAAGAAAAGAAGAAAATGTGCACCGTCTGACCAATTAAGCTCATCATGTATTTCTACCCCTGCTTTTTTAGTTTTAATTCTTATTTATTTTGAGACGCAGTCTCACTCTCATGCAGGCTGGCGTGCAGGGGCGAGATCTCGGCTCACTGCAGCCTCCGCCTCCCGGGTTCAAGCGATTTTCCTGCCTCAGCCTCCCGAGTAGCTGGGACCACAGGCGCGCATCGCCACGCCCTGCTGTTTCTTGTATTTTCAGTAGAGACGGGGGCTTCACCATGTCGGCCAGGCTGGTCTCGAACTCCTGACTTCCGGTGACCCGCCCGCCTCGGCCCCGCACAGGGCTGGGGTGACACTGGTGACACCCGCCGGCCTTTTCTCCTTTCCACTGGAACAAAAGCGCAGCTGCCAAGGACAGACACGCAGGTCTATTGCTCGCGATGATAAAAACCCGCGGTCACAGCAGCCTTCCCACAGGGAAGCCGCCTGGACACCGCAGTCCCGCGAACGCGGCGCGGCCGCCCCGGGGACCGGGACAGTCCCGCGCGGGCTCCGGGACAAGAGCGGCCCCAGCGCAGCATCCCCCGGAGCCCGCTCCTGTCACCGCCACCAAGTCCCCTGCGTGCGCTGCGCGGCCGCGGCCGCGGGACGAGCGCGCAAGGCGCCGGTCAGCAGCCGCCCCCGCCGCCGCCGCCCCGGCCGCCCTGGGACCCTCCGCGGGGCGGGTCCGAAAACGCCTAAAAACCCCCGAAACGCTCCGATCATTCCCGCCGCGACCGCCGTTTCCTCGGACTGCGCCGAGCGGCACGAGGCTTGGCCTCCGTTCGTGTCCGCGCCCGGCGGCTTGGGACGGAAGACCGAGCCCGGCCGCAGAGCGCAGCTGCCCCCGCGCCGGCCGCCCCCGCGCCGAGACCGCCCGGGGTGCCGAGGCCGCCCGGGGTGCCGAGGCCGGGGCGCCGGGGAGAGCCCCGCGCGAGCGAGCGGCGGTCCCGGGCCGCCAACCCCGGCCGCCCCGGGCCCCACGGGCCGGCACCGACGCGAGCCCCCGGCCGCTCACCTTGCGCGTGCAGTGCTCACACTTCATCTGGAGCGCGGCGGGCGGGAGGCCGGGCGCCTGAGCCTGAGGGAAGCACCGGGGACGCGGACACCGCTGCCAGCCGCCCGCAGCCCTTTGTTGTCCTCCCCCGGCGCGTCCTCACCCCAACGGCTGCGCTCGGCCAATCAGAGCACCGGGAGAGGACAGGCCGCACCCCTGGACCAATAGGAGCACGCAAAGGGCAGTGCGGCCTCATCCCCACGGGTTCGTCTAGGCCAATGACAGGGCCTGGAAGGGGCGGGCCAGGCCCCAGAGCCAATCGGAGTGCGCAGGGCGGAGCGCAGCCCCATCCCCGTACTGCGCCGCGGGGCCCGGGTCCGTGCGCTAGTTTCCGGTTCTCGCGGGTCCTGCGGCGGCGGCTAAACTGAGTTCAGCATGGAGTGGGTGAGCGCGCGGAGTGTCCCGAGGCCAAGCCGGGACCGTTCCAGCGTGCTTGGTCCGGGGATTAAGGGGCCCGCAGACCCCTGGGCTCGCGGAAGCCACGGCCGGGCTCGCTCAGCCAGCTCTGCGTCTAACACTCGCCTTATTCGCGGCTCCTGACGGGGCGGGGCGGGGTGGGGGGGGGTCACAGCCCTCGTCCGCCGCCATGGCCGCTTCACGGCGCGTCACGTAGGCCCGGCGAGGTGACAGCGCGCATGCGCGGCGTGCCTGGGCGGACCCACGAGTGATGGACCCGGAAGCACGCGGGGAGATGCTAAATGATGGTCTTTTGACGTTCGCGTGCCTTCCTGTGGATAATTTTACCAAGTACATTGATTTGGGCCCTTACACCTTACAAAGTAAAGAATAATAATTATTCCTCCAAGAAATTGATTTCAGCTAAACATTGATACAGGGCTATAATGGAAGTATTTGGACTCCTCTGATAATTATACACATTTTATGAAATCAGTGTATGTGTATTACAGAAATCAGAAATGAGAAGAACATGTCTGCAAGAGTGTGGCATAAGAGAAATAACTTGTACGTGTTTTTAACTGACACCAGCCGTTCTCAGGATCCCTCATGTTAGAGCCTGTCTTCCTGTCGTCTGAGAAATGAAATGAAACGCAAAGCACCCCAATTGACTGCAGGGAGCACCTCTTGGCTAAGGAGATCCCAGGGTAACCTTGAGAGTTCTCAGCCATGACAGATGGGAGAGCAGATGTTGCCATGCCCCAGCCTTAGCTAACTACCATTAGGCTTTCTTGGCTAAGAGCTTAACGGAAACTAGCCCTTTCCAAAGACTCCACCACTGACAACAGCCCTTTGGGTTGCTGTTTCGACACAGCTGACCAGTATTCCTTACTAATAAGAAACCACTCACCCTGGAGTGGTTATGACCAGACTACATATCCCTCAAGAAGGGGCCTGAAGCTTTGCTGTGCTTGTGTATGTTTCTCTTTTCAAAAATATTCATGACTCCTCCTGTAGCTTGCTAAATATGTATGTTTACACACTGCTCAGCATAGATTCCTGTTCCCTTGCCCCTCCCTGGAAATGTCAGTTTCTGGCTTCTGGCCAGAGGCAGCTTCCCTGCCTGTCAGAATGGCCACCCTCCAGGCTGAAACCCTTTATGAGAAATAAAGCTCTCCTTTCCAAGTTTATGAATCTCATCATTCTTCAGCTGGTCGTGGCCCATCAGGTTCCTCCTGCCTGCTGCCCAGTCAGTTCACTGAGACTGCAGCATGACAGGAACAAAAGAGTGTAACTGACACCTGACAGGCCACACAGGGGACAGAGTTATTACTGAAATCAGACTCTCCAAAGGCTCACAGGTTAGGGTTTTTGTGGACAATTTGGTGGGCAGGGGGTTCGAAAATGAGTGCTGCTGATTGGCTGGGGATGAAATCACAAGGGTGTGGAAAAGGGTCCTTAAGCACTGAGTCTGCCTCTGGGTGGGGCCACAGGAACCAGTTGAATCCTGAGTCACAGGTTGGGGTGGGTTCACTCTGAAAAACATCTCAAAAAACCAATCTTAGGTTCTGCAATACTGATATTATCTTTAGGTGCAATTGGGGAAGTTGCAAATCTTGTGATCTCTGGCCACATGAATCCTGAGCAATAATGGATTGCAGAAAGTATGCTGATATTTTAGCAGAGGGCAGGCCCCTCCCACCATCCTACTCTTGGGGCCTTTCATTAGCTTTACAAAGGCAGTTTCAGCCCCAGAAGAGGGAGGCCATAGTTTTAGGAAGGGACTATTTATCATCCTTGCTTCAAGGTTAAACTATAAATTCCTCCCAAAATTAGCTTGGCTTATGCCCCGGAATAACCAAGGACAGCTGGGATGTTAGAAGGATGATGGAGTTGAACTATGTGAATTTTTTTTTTTTTTGAGACAGGGTCTCACTCTCTTACCTCAGCTGGAATGCAGTGGCATGATCACAGTTCACTGCAGCCTCAACCTTCATGGCTCAAGTAATCCTCCGACCTCAGCCCTGCCGGGTAGCTGGGACTACAGTCTTGCACCACCGTCCTGGCTAAGTTTTAAATTTTTTGCAGATACAGGGTCTCCCCATGTTGCCCAGGCTGTTCTTCTTGAATTCCTGGACTCAAGTGATCCACCTCAGCCTCCCAAAGTGCTGGGATTACAGGTGTGAGCCACTACACCCACCCTCTCTCACTGTCGTAATATTTGCAAAGGCAGTTTCAAGTTGACACTTCAAGTTGAGGCTGGGCACCATGGCTCACACCTGTAATCCCAGCACTTTGGAAGGCCAAGGCAGGTGAATCAGTTGAGGTCAGGAGTTTGACACCAGCCTGGACAACATGGTGAAACCCTGTACCTGCTAAAAACACAAAAAATATCTAGATGTGGTGGTGCATGCCTGTAATCCCAGCTACTCGGGAGGCTATGGCGGTAGAATCACTTGAACCTGGGAGATGGAGGTTGCAGTGAGTTGAGATTGCACCATTGTACTCCAAGCTGGGTGACAGAACAGAATTCTGTCTCAACAAAAACAAAAACAAGTTGAAGCAAAGATCCCCCTTACCTCTGGGGGTCACAAAGTCCAAATAAATATTTAAGACTATTCCAGTTCCAGAAAACCCACTGGAATGTTTTAATTTTTTTAAATTTTATTTTTTCTCCTAACCTTACTGTATTGCGAATTGTTTTCCATTAAAAATATTTTTGGCTATGCACGGTAGCTCATGCCTGTAATCCCGGCACTTTGGGAGCAGAGGCAGGGGGAATCACCTCAGGTCAGGAGTTTGAGATCAGTCTGACTGACATGGTGAAACCCTGTCTCTTTTAAAAATAGAAAATTATAGCCTGGCGTGGTGGTGGGTGCCTGTAATCTCAGCTACTTGGGAGGCTGAGGCAGGAGAATCGCTTGAACCTGGGAGGCAGAAGTTGTAGAGCCGAGATTGGATCATTGAACTCCAGTCTGAGCAACAAGCGAAACTCCATCTCAAAAAAAATTTTTTTATTTACAGTTTCCAGTTTGTATAGCTTTTTACAAATGCGTCAATAAAATCCAGCAAGTGTTAACCCTCTGGGTTACTCAAATTCATGCCAGCATCTTTCAGAAAACATGTCCCCTCAACTTCAACTTGATTAAAAGGATAATTTTAGGTTGACATTTGTATATCTTTTTTGTTAATGTTTAAAAAATATAACTGGCCAGACATGGTGGCTCATACCTGTAATCCCAGCACTTTGGGAGGCTGAGGCAGGTAGATCACCTGAGGTCAGGGGTTTTAGACCAGCCTGGCCAACATGGTGAAACCCCATCTCTACTAAAAATACAAAAATTAGCTGGGCATGGTGGTGGTGCATGCCTGTAATCCCAGCTACTGGGGAGGCTATGGCAGGAGAATTGCTTGAACCCAGGAGGCAGGGGGTGCAATGAGCCAAGACTGCGCCATTGCACTCCAGCCTGGGCAACAAGAGCGAAACTCCGTCTCTAAAATAAAATAATAAAAATAAATAAAATAAAAACATAATTGTAATATGGTCAAAGGAACAAATTGAAATCAGCTAATTTTTTTTATCAAATAGCCAATGTCCAATTTTCCACATTGTCTCATAATTTTTTTTAGTTTGTTTAAATCAGGATCTAAATAAGATCTAGGATGTTCTATTAGTCTGTATTACAAATGGTTTATATGTTTCTTAAGTCTCTTTTTTTTTTTCTGTGAACTTATGGAAGACATTGAAAAGTCTCTTTTTGTTGAAAAACAACTTGATTTTGACATAACGTGAGGCCTACTTAGAAGTGGCAGAGTTCAGGCTGGACATGATGGCTCATACCTGTAATCCCAGCACTGTGGGTGGCCTAGGTGGGCTGATCACCTGAAGTCAGGAGTTTGAGACCTGCCTGGCCAACATGGCAAAACGCTGTCTCTACAAAAAATAAAAAAATTAGCTGGGCGTGGTGGCGCATGCCTATAGTCCCAGCTACTCAGGAGGCCGAGGCAGGAGAATCGCTTGAACCTGGGAGGTGGAGGTTGCAGTGAGCCAAGATGGTGCTGCTGCACTCCAACTTGGTCAACAGTGCGACTTCCTTAAAAAAAAAAAAAAAAAAAAAGTTGCTGAGTTACTGATCTTAAAGTTGTTGTTCTTTGTATATATTATTTAAAAATCAGGTCAGTTGCCTGTAGGGGTTTCCATGTTGACAAAATGAGTCAAACTGTAAAATATTGAAGATACGGCCCGTCCTGGTGGCTCACGCCTGTAAACCCAGCACTTTGGGAGGCCGAAGCAGGCTGATCATGTCAGGAGTTCAAGACCATCCTGGTCAATATGGTGAAACCCCATCTCTACTAAAAATACAAAAATTAGCTGGGTATGGTGGCATGTGTCAGCTACTTGGGAGGCTGAGGCAGGAGAATTGCTTGAACCTGGGAGGCAGAGGTTGCTGTGAGCTGAGATCACACCACTGCACTCCAGCCTGGTGACAGAATGAGGCTCCATCTCTCTCTCTCTCTCTTTTTTCAAATAGAGATGGGGTTTCACCGTATTGGCCAGGGTGGTCTCAAACTCCTGACCTTGTGATCCACCCGCCTTGGCCTCCCAAAGTGCTGGTATTACAGGTATGAGCCACTGTGCCCAGCCTTGGCTCCATCTCAAAAAACAAAACAAACAAACAAAAAAAACACAGATTGGAAGAGATTCTGTGCCAAATATGAGTGACCAATGGCTGGTGACACAGCCCTTAGGAGATCCTGAGAACATGTACCCAAGGAGGTTAGACTACAGCTTGGCTTTTAGGAAGACATAAGACATTAGTCAATACATGTAGATGTACATTGGTTCAGTTCAGAAAGGTGGGGTGGCCTCAATTGGGGGGTTTCCAGGTCGTAGATTCAAAGATTTTCTGATTGGCAACTGGTTGAAAAAGTTATTGTCTAAAGACCTAGAATTAATAGAAGGGAATGTCTAGGTTAAGATAATGGCTTGTGGAGACAGCAAGATTTTCATTAAGGAGAGGAAGTCTCCAGGTAGCAGGCTTCAGAAAGAATGGATTGTGCTTCTCTGCTTTCTTTTTTTGAGACAGTGTCTCACTCTGCTGCCTAGGCTGGAGTGCAATGGCATGATCTTGGCTCACTGCAACCTCTGCCTCCCAAGTTCAAGAGATTCTCCTGCCTCAGCCTCCTGAGTATCTGGGACTACAGGTGTGTGCCACCACAGCTGGCTAAATTTTTTATTTTTGGTAGAGATGGTGTTTCACCATGTTAAAGGCCAGGCTGGTCTCAAACTCCTGATCTCGTGATCCACCTGCCTTGGCCTCCCTAAGTGCTGGGATTATAGGTGTGAGCCACTGCACCCAGCCGGATTGTGCTTATCAGAGTTAATTACCTCCGGGAGCAGGAAAAAACCTGGAAAGGAACAGCAATTCTTTACAGAATGTAGATTTTCCTCACAAGGGACAGCTTTGCAGGGCTATTTCAAAATACATTAAATCAATATAATGTGGGGTAAAGTACTTAGATTCCTTTTAGGCCTGTTATCTGTCATGTGATCCTATACCAGAGTCAGGCTGGAATTTGGTGTCATTGCTACAGAATCTACTTTGCAGCCTCAAGATCGGTCTTAATGTTAATGCTGGTCAGCTGTGTGGCTGAATTCCAAAAGGGAGGAGGGAGTGAGGTATGTCAGTCTCCCCCTTCCCATCACTGTCTGATCCAGTGTTTCAGGATAACTTTGGAATGCCCTTGGCCAATAGGCAGGGTCTAGTCAGATGGTTGCAAGTTAGAATTTTATTTCTGGTTTACACCTGCAATTGCTGAGTGCATCCTTGTAGAATCCTTTAGTACATTCTTGTCTTCCAACTTTCCAGTAATTCACTCTAGAAGCTTGTTCACATTTGGGTTACATTTTTTTCTGGCAAGACTACTTCATAGATGCTGTTGTATACTTCTGATGGCTAACTGAACTTTTTCTGATGTTAATTAGTGTGGGTAGCCCCCCATATAGGCACTGAGGAATGAGAGCTAAGCAGAGCCCTGGCATAGTTAGGGCTTGAGGAATATCTCACTTTATAGTGTTACTACTCAGCTATTTCCTTTTATATAATCCTTTACATAATCATATATTAGTTTATAGAAATAGGGCTTGAAGTCTCCCTTTATATAATCCTCTATGTATAATCATATAATAGTTGATAGTATGAGTGCCTAAAGAATACTTCCCTACATATATAATTATATCTTAGTTCATAATTGGAGGAATGCCTAGAGTGGACGCAGTACAGAGCATGAATTAAGGAATAAGCAGCTTATAGTCGGAGGAATGACTAGAGCAGACACAGTGCAGAGCGTGATTTAAGGGAAAACAGTTATACCAGGACAAGAATCCACGGCCCAGGCGGCAGCGTTCAGTATTGTAGATACCCGCTGTATGGCAGGCTTGGGGAGAGAGCCACTCCTCCTGATAAAGGAGTTGTAGGACCTTGCTCCTGTTCTTGTGGAAGGTGCCCTCGGACCGGCAATCCACCTTGGTGACTGTGAACTTTATCAGCTCTTGCTACTGTGGTGCTCGAAAAGCATCTTCCCGTAGAACCCACTGGAAGCTGCCACGTGGCGGTAACCCTGACAGCTCTGTCACTGCTAGGTGACTTAAAGCATCCTCCTATAAATCTTCTTAGAAGTAGTTTGCCCATAGATAGAAGTATCGCACACTGCACCCCCTTACTGCACATGGCCCTTGCCTTTGTGGGAACGGACCCCTTGCTGTGCGCTGTCCACTTCCTGGCCTAGGTGACCTAATGGGGGTGGACCCCTTGTTTTACTGCTCACGACCCTATCACTATTCCTTTTTTTTTTTTGAGACGGAGTTTCACTCATGTTACCCAGGCTGGAGTGCAATGGCGCGATCTCGGCTCACCGCAACCTCCGCCTCCTGGGTTCAGGCAATTCTCCTGCCTCAGCCTCCTGAGTCGCTGGGATTACAGGCATGCACCACCATGCCCAGCTGATTTTTTGTATTTTTAGTAGAGATGGGGTTTCACCATGTTGACCAGGATGGTCTCGATCTCTTGACCTCGTGATCCACCCGCCTCGGCCTCCCAAAGTGCTGGGATTACAGGCGTGAGCCACTGCGTCACTATTCTTAAAGATGATTTCACTCACTGCCCTGCCCCCTAACGTATACACAATAAATACTCATGCTTCTGGACATTCGGGGCTCGCCACCCTCGCCAGGCTGAGCTCGCCGGCCTTGCCTGACTCTGCTCATAGGTGGCGTGGCCCCCCGGGCCCAGCTGCATTTTCTTAGTACTTCTGCGTCTTCTCTCTTTATTTCTCGGATCCTGCGCCTCAGCACAGCATAAGGCTCACCCCACGACCCTGTGGGGCGCTCAGCCTTACATCGGGCTCCCAACGTGCCCTACAAATGAGCAGTCATTGATGACATGGCTTAGGTCCAATAACTCATAGGGTGATGTTTCAATCCTACTGTTTCTTCTTCATTTATTAGCAGGAAAACTTGTATGAGAAAATCTTCTCATGCCGTATTCGGTTACTCCGCTGTAAGTTTCGTAAAGGCAGGACAAGCGCTGGCTGCCTTCCTTCTATTTACCAGGACACAACCGCGGTGAGTTTGTCAGCATCCTCCGCAAGGGCAGAGTGAAAAGTTGATCATTGTGATCATTGTGATGAATTACAGCCCGGGGCACCTGCGGCTCTCCGGGTCATCGCGGTGACGGCTCTCGGGCTCAAATCTTCTTCCTTGGCAATGAGACCGCCTCGCTTACGCGTCTGTGTGGACAAGACGCTCATAGTTTTTGGTGAGTTCTTTGCTTTCGGATGCGGTTCCCCCCACGTCTCTTTTCTCCAAGAAAAGTGGTTCCTTTAGCAGGAACCACCCGCCTCTTCCTGCGGCCCCGCCCGGACCCCGGAAGTGCGTGGACTCCCCGGATCCCAGGAGTCCGCTCGGCTCCGCCCCACCCAGGAAGTGCGCGCGGCCCCGCCCTCAATCCCGGAAGTGCGCGCGGCCCCGCCCTCAATCCCGGAAGGGCGCGCGGCCCCGCCCTCAATCCCGGAAGTGCGCGCGGCCCCGCCCCGCCGGTTCGCGTCCTGTCGCTGCCGCCCGGGGACCGCTGTGCTCTCGGTAGGCGGCTGGGCTGGGCGGGCTCCGCGCTTCCGTCCCGCCCCGTGCCGCGTGTCCCGGCGCCCTTGGGCCCACGCCGGGCGGGCTCTGCGTCCTGGACCCGCCTGCCGGCCGTGCGTGTCCCGCCGTGCCCGCTGCAGGTGGGCCCGGCGGCGGGGAGCGCCCTCGACCCGGACACAGGAACGAGCGCTCCGGTGCGACCCGCGGCGCGGGCGGCCCTGCCAGCGCGTGTGCGCGTGTGCGCGTGTGCGCATTCGCGCCTGGAATGCGGGGCGCCTGGGGAGCGATGCGGTAACCGAGGCCCGGGAGGGAGCCCAGTCACGAACCGGCACCCAGGATTGGTTCGTGAGATTTGAACCCACTGTATTTTTTCAGGCAGGTTCTCACTCTGTCACCCAGGCTGGAGTTCAGTGGCTGGATCTCGGCTCACTGCAGCCGCCACCTCCTGGCTCGGGTGATCCAGCTCAGCCTGATCGCTAGCAGCACAGGCCACCGGGCTGGTTTTTAAGTATTGTTTTGTCGAGACGGAGTTTCACACGTTGCCCTGGCTGGTCTTGAACTCCTGGACTCATGCGATCCGCCTGCCTCGGCCTCCCAACGGGCTGGGATTACACGCACGAGCCACCTCGCCTGGCCTGAACCCCCTATTTAATGTCAGAAATTTGATTCGACTTTACAGAGAAATTCCTGAGAAACTCCCCAGAACGGGGTCCCTGGAGCCTTTGGAGCGTAATGTTAAGCTGGCAGGGCTGTTGCAGCCCTCGCAGGACTCCCCTGTGGAGGATTCGCCCCTTTGGTGACTCATTGGTTCTGCCCGTTTTCGGACCCTCTGAGCTTTCAGCAGGGGGAGGAAGGCAGAGAGAGAGCTGATATTCTTGGTCCATGCCAGTACTGCTGAAGCCATGATAGGACTTTCAGTTCCCTTTCTTGGTGGAGGCCAGCACAGGGGAGAGTGGGTGCTGACACGTGCTAGAAGCTGGAAGGCTGCTGGGGGCTGGCAGGCTCTCGAGACGGGAGGTTTCCAGATAGGACAGGGGCAGGTGGTGATGCAGCTGCTCCTTGTGAGTCTGGGGGGGAAGCAGCCTCCGTGCCGTCGGTGTGACTGTGAACGGAAGAGGGTCTTCCTTACACAGGAAACGGGGTCTCTGGGGGATCCAGTGGTGTGCCCAGCCACAAAGACCAGGTCACACTGGCTTATGGTGTCTGGGGCTGCAGGTGGTTTGTTGGGGGGGCCTGCCCCTGGCCTCTGGTCTGAGCCTGATGGCGTGGGCGCCTGCCTCTGGGCAGGCCCAAGGGCAAGCTGCCTCTGTCTGTCCCCAGACCCCTCCTCCTGTAGAGAGTGGTGCCGCCGTCCCCGGGATGTACATGCAGGTGGAGACCCGCACCAGCGCCCGCCTCCATCTGAAGAGGGCTCCAGGTATCCGGTCCTGGTCCCTGCTGGTTGGTAAGGCTCTCCACATCCCTCCCCAGAACCTAGAACCAGAAGACTTTCAAAAAGGATGAAAATGAAACAAAGTATTTCTTCTTTTTTCTGTTACCCTGAAATCTAACAGCTATTTTGTTTCTTTGTATCCACTTGGTTTTACAGGTAATGCATGTCTGTCTGGTGCCCTTTTAACCATTAACACCCAGAGTATTTCATTCATACTCGATGAGCCTTTTCCGAGGTCACCATATTTGCCTTTGCCCTTGTTTTGAACCATGTGATGGGTGATGGTGGGTTCCTATTTCTCCTCTTCCCTGGTCCTCAGACCCCTTCACAGGACTCACAGTCCATGTAGCCTCCTGTCCTCCGTCCCCACCCACCAGTAGGGTCCTGTACCCTTGAGAACAGCTGCAGTTGTGTTGGTGGGATGATGGGAGGTGTGGTGCTGGGTGTGCTCAGCTGCTGTGTCTCTGGGATCCGCCTTTCCTGTGACACGCCGTGGCCTCCTGTGTGTTTTTCGTGGTACACTGTGTTGTAACTCTTTGTGCATAGTCTTCAGGCCTCACCACTTGCTGTTGGAATAACACCTGGGCCAGCTCTGGAGCCTCCCGGGGTGGATGTGTCCAGTGAATACTGTGAATAGTGTATGCTGTGTTTGGTTTTTGTTTTCTTTAGTGATGGTGTCTCGTTATGTTGCCCAGGCTGGTCTCAAACTCCTGGGCTCAAGCGATCTTCCTGCCTTGGCCTCCTAGGTAGCTGGGATTACAAGTGTGTGCTATGATGCCCAACTCTACTGCATTTGTGTGTGTGTGTGTGTGTGTGTGTGGTTTTTTGTTTGTTTGAGACTGAGTCTCACTCTGTCGCCCAGGCTAGAGTGCAGTGGTGCGATCTTGGCTCACTGCAACCTCCACCTCCCGGGTTCAAGCGATTCTCCTGCCTCAGCCTCCCCTATACTGCATTTTTGTTTATTTTATTTAAAAAAATTTTTTTATTAAGACGGGGTTTCACCATGTTGGTCAGGCTGGTCTTGAACTCCCAACCTCAGGTGATCCACCCACCTTGGCCTCCAAAGTGCTTGGATTACAGGTGTGAACCACCACGACCGGCCCTAGACCGCATTTTTGAATCAACTTCCTGGCTATCTCCCCTACTCTGAACCTGGTGGTCTGTAACCCCCCACCACAGCTGTTCCTACAGTGAGAAGGGCCTGCTCATGGGGCTGTGGCTCCTGGCCTGCAATACTGGGGAAGAGGCGGGGCTTACGGGGCTCACCAGGCAGGGAGGAGGCGGGGCTTACGGGGCTCACCCGGCAGGGAGGAGGCGGGGCTCACGGGGCTCACCAGGCAGGGAGGAGGCGGGGCTCACGAGGCTCACCAGGCAGGGAGGAGGCGGGGCTCACCAGGCAGGGAGGAGGCGGGGCTTATGGGGCTCAACCGGCAGGGAGGAGGCGGGGCTCACGAGGCTCACCAGGCAGGGAGGAGGCGGGGCTCACCAGGCAGGGAGGAGGCGGGGCTCACGGGGCTCAACCGGCGGGGAGGAGGCGGGGCTCACGGGGCTCACCCGGCGGGGAGGAGGCGGGGAGGAGGCGGGGCTCACGGGGCTCAACCGGCAGGCAGCCACTTTCTCTTCCTAGGAATCTTGTCGATTGGCCTGGCTGCTGCCTACTACAGTGGAGGTAAATAAAGCACCCCCCACACCCCATAACTTTTTCATCTGTTTGGAAAATAGAAAAGAGAAGGAAAAACTGTCATTTGTGACTGTCCACGGGGCAGCGTTTAGGAGAGGCACCTCTGCCCCTCGATCGTTGTGGGCCCACGCTCCTCCACGTGCTGGTGTTCTGGCACGCCCATCCCGGCCCAGCACCCAGCCTGCAATTCACTTCTTAAGTCTTCTGTGTTTTGGGTCATAAAATATTCTCAGAAAGATGCTCTTGAGTATCTGCCTAAGATCCAGCTGTGGGGTGAGGGATACTTCCCATCCTGCCACCATCCCTGGGCCTGCCCAGATGGGCAGAGGCCCCGTGCACCCCACCTGCCTCTCACATGGACTCCAAGGGTCACAGCTGGGTGGGTGTGCTGCGTGTGGGTACTGAGTGGCAGGGCCAGCAGACAGGAAGCTGCCCGAGGGATCCTTGCAAGCCTTGCCACTGGCCAGCATCTGGGGAGGTTGTGCAGGGCGGGGCCTCCCGTGGGCACGTTCCTGGGACTCACAGGCTGGCGCCCTATGTCCGTCTCCAGATACCCTGGGCTGGAAGCTCTTCTATGTCACAGGCTGCCTGTTCGTGGCTGTGCAGAACTTGGAGGACTGGGAGGTAAGGTTGGCTCAGGTGCAGGACGAGTCCAGGGCCGTTGAGCTGCTGGGTGTTCTTGCAATGGGAATGAGAGGAGGAGGAAAGGCCTGGTGACCTAGTGCTTCCCCGTCCTGAATCCTTGGTCCTTGCTCGGAGGTCTCTGTTCATTGGGACTTGGGCCCTGCACTCACCTGGGACCACAGTTGGTCAGGGAGTCTCCCGAAGGCATTTTTCTCTTAGAAGCTTTCCATGAGACCGTCTTTGCCAAAGTGTTCTCTTCCCAAAGTTGCCACGATGGGGTGCGAGTCAGCTTTCCCCGTGGCCGGGCCTCCCGCCTCAGAGACCCTCATCTTTCAGCCTGGCCCGCTGCTGCCCTCTGACCTCTGTGCCCTCATTTGCTCATCCCGCTGCCCTCCTGTGCGTCTGTTCTGCCTGCAGAGCGGAGCAGGTGCCCACTGGACCTGCCCCCCTCTTTCCTCCACAGTTCCCAACAGGAATCAGGTTGGCTGCAGATGTCTGGCTCTGGCACAGCAGCATGTGGGGCTTCAGGGGTTTGGGTTCTTACTGGGAGGGGCCCCAGCCCCCCTTCTTGATACCACAGCGGCCACAGGGGCCCCTGTTCCTGGAGGTTCCTGGAGGTCAGTGCATATCGGTTTTCAGGAAGCCGTCTTTGACAAGAGCACAGGGAAGGTTGTTTTGAAGACGTTCAGCCTCTATAAGAAACTGCTGACTCTCTTCAGAGCAGGCCATGACCAGGGTGAGTTGAGGGGAGTGCGGGGATATGGGACACAGGCGTGGCACTGTGGGCGTCTGGGTGACTCACGGGGCCTGGGGGGGCCTGGAAACACTGAGGGTCCAAGCTCGCCTGCCTGGTGACCAGGGTTGGGTCCTGCCTGCTGGACGCAGGGTCCCACGGATGCCTCTACCTGCTCGGTGGAGTCTAGAGCCTCCTGGGTCCTTCCGAGGTTTGGCCCCTGGGGAGGGTGGGAGGATGGGTTTGGCCCACCTGCGCTCGGGTGGCCTGTTAGGCCGTGTTCTCTTGCTGGCCCAGCAGCCACTTGTCCCAGGTGCAGTTTGGCCCCTGAGGGCAGGTCACAGGGCAGGGCAGGGAGAGCCTGGGCTGCTGCAGCTTTCCTGTGGGTTCTGCTGGACCTGCAGTAAGAGGCTGGGTGCTCTGAGGAACCCCCACCGTGAGCCTGGGCACTAGCCCAGCTGTGGTCAGCACTGGTTTCCTGTGGAGAGGCCTCGGGGTCTGGCCACCCATGCACAGCCCGAGGGTGGGACGGATTCGGGCGACCAGTCGCTGGGCAGTCTTGGGTTTGGTGCCACCCTGCTGCGCTGCTGACAGGCTGCTTCCTGGATCCCTGCAGAGACCTGGCCAGGGTACTGGCCCCACGTCACCCACGGCTTTGGGGAGAGGAGCTGCAGGCCCGGCCTGGGTTGTGGGAGGCAGCTGTGCTGTTTTCTGACAGCCGTTGGGGCCACAGGATGGGGCCACCCCGGTCCCTGAAGAGGTGGCTTCCCTGAATGGCCACAGGAAATCGCAGGGTGGCCCTGGCTCAGCAGCCAACCTTGGGGAGACAAGGAGGGACAGTGCAGCATAAAGATGTCGCCCTCACCCACCGTCGGCACTCCCAGGAGAACCAGCAGGCCATGCTCTTGGCCCGCCAGCCTGCACTGTGGGCACATCCTTCCCACCCAGAGGACCCTGCACCGCCGTTAGGGCCACGGCAGCCCTCCAGGCCCAGCCTCAGACAGGGAACAGCACACACTTTTGCCACCAACCAAGCATGTCCGTTGCTCTTGACGGCGCCAGTGGCCCTGGAGCGACTGCCGGGCAGCATGTGTCGGTGGGGACGGCTTGACCACTGACCGTGTCTCCCTGCAGTGGTGGTCCTGCTGCAGGATGTGCGTGACGTGAGCGTGGAGGAGGAGAAGGTCCGGTACTTCGGGAAGGGCTACGTGGTGGTGCTCCGGCTAGCGACAGGCTTCTCCCACCCCCTCACCCAGAGCGCAGTCATGGGTCACCGCAGGTAAGGCTGCGCGACTTTGATCTGGCCAGAGCTGCCGCTGTGTCAGGTGACTCCCGTTCCTGGGCACCCAGCGCTACGGGGCAGCTGGGAGAGACAAGCTGTGGACGGGTCACAGAGGGGCCTGGGCAGCATGTGCAGGCTGAGGGCAGCCCCACTGGGGCTGGGGGGTGGGACCAAGCCAGGGAGTGCTGGGTCCAGTTTGGGAGTCCCAGGGGCTGCTGGAGGAGGGTGGCTGAGGGGGAGGCTGGTGTGGGTATCGTGGCGCCCTGTGCCGAGGTGACCTGACCTTCCTCCTGTTGCCGGCCTCGCCCAGTGACGTAGAAGCTGTTGCCAAGCTCATCACCAGCTTCCTGGAGCTGCACTGCCTTGAGAGCCCCACGGAGATGTCTCAGAGCAGTGACAGTGAGGCCGGTGACCCTGGGAGCCAGAGCTGACAGCCCCCGTGTGCCTGCGCCTGAGCACCGCCCACAGAGCCCTTGGCCCTGGTCGGCACCCCCAGCTGAGTCGGCCTCTCGCCTGCTCCTCCTGCCGCATTCACACTGCGTGAAACAGCAAGCTGGACCTTCTCTGAGGGGCTGGGCGGGGACTCTTGGTGTGGGAAGGGGGCTCCGAAGTCAGCGAGTCCTCCGGGAATCGGACAGTGGCCCGGCTTGGGCAGTTCGGGGTGTGAAGACAATGGGCTGCATGGCCTGGACTGGGCAGCTCCACCCTCGGCCTCTGAAACAGAAAGGACACCCAGGCGTTCTCCATCGTGAGGCCTGGGCCTGCCTTCCTGCAGCCGGAGGTCTCACCAGCCCTCGACTCCTGCTGTGGGGCACAGCGAGACCTCAGACGAGTAGAGAGGCTGGGCCAGGCTCCCAAGGGTGCTGGTGCTGTGCGATGTCCCCGACAGTGTCCCCTCCCTGAGTGGATGACCCCAGCGGTCAGGTGCTTCCCCAGGGCCTGCCTGGCTGTGCATGCTGCGGCCACACTGTGGAAGCTGCCCCTCCCCAAGGACCCGCCTCCTTTGCTGATGCCAGCATCTTGGTGCACAGACTGCTCTGTCCCAGCTGTCGCCACAGAAAGGTCTCTCTGCTCCTCACCCTCAGCCTCAGCAGAAGCTGCTAGGCCAGAAAAAGGGTCAGCTCTTCTGACATTGTGCGGCGTTTAAAAACTGGGAGCTCCAGCCCGGGACTGCAGTGGCTCATGCCAGTAATCCCAGCGTTTTGGGAGGCCAAGGATTTGGGAGGATTGCTTGAGGCCAGGAGTTCAAGACCAGCATGGACAACACAGCAAGATCCAGTCTTTACAAAAAAAAAAAAAACAAAAACAAAACCCAACCAAAAGAAACACTGGGAGACTTTCTGCAGAAATTGAGTTCCAGCCTCTCTTGAACCTGGGAAGACCTGGTGGGGGGAGGGGGCTGGGCTCTTGGCTGCACCGCTGCAGGAGCTGAACCCCAGCCGTCTTGCCCGCCAGTGCTCTTGGTCTCCTGAGGTCCTACCAGGTGCAGTGTGCACCGAGCACGCCTGGCCTGGTGCCATGGCCTCCGAGCTGGGGACTCCTGGGCCCTGTGAGCCCCCAGGCAACAGCCCCAGGAGTGGCAAACGCCTTTGCCCCAGGTCTGGCTGCTGCCTCAGTGACAGCAGACAGGAAAGGGGTGAGACCCTCCTCAGCAGTGGCTGCCAGCCCGTAGCTGGGGGACATGCTCCCCTGAACATGCCAAAGTTACGTGTGTTTTTGTTTTGATTTTCTTTGAGATGGAGTTACGCTCTTAGCTCCCAGGCTGGAGTGCAATGGTGTGATCTCAGCTCACTGCAACCTCTGCCTCCTGGGTTCAAGTGATTCTCCCGCCTCAGCCTTCCAAGTAGCTGGGATTATAGGCACCTGCCACCACAGCTGGTTAATTTTTATATTTTCAGTAGAGACGGGGTTTCACCATGTTGTCCAGGGTGGTCTCAAACTCCTGACCTTAGGTGATCTGTCTGTCTTGGCCTCCCAAAGAGCTGGGATTAAAGGCATGAGCCACTGTGCCCAGCCCAAAACTAGGTTTTTAGATGGTTAAACCTGAGATGTTTTTTCTTCCTAAAATGAAAAGTATATGATGCAGTCATCTCAGGTTTCTGGCCTGTTCACCCTGGGCTGTAGGAAGGTGCTTTAGATGAGGAAGAGGGAACTGCCCTCGCCAGGTCCCCGACATGGGTGCTGTCCCGGCCAGGCGGCCCCTCGACACGGGTGCTGTCCCAGCCAGGCGGCCCCTCCCCCGACATGGGTGCTGTCCCGGCCAGGCGGCCCCCCGACACAGGTGCTGTCCCGGCCAGGCGGCCCCCCGACACGGGTGCTGTCCCCGCCAGGCGGCCCCACCCCCAACGCGGGTGCTGTCCCGGCCAGGCGGCCCCACCCCCGACACGGGTGCTGTCCCGGCCCTTCCTCCTCACCAGCCCCAGGGCTGTGGTTTGTTCCTGGATGCAGCTGGAAGCTGGCGGCAGCCTTGAATAACCCTTCACGTGTAACTGTGGCTTCCACTCTTTATTTCAGAATTGGTGTCATACGTCAGATCACAGAGTGGGTCTCTCTGTGCTGCTTCCTTCTGTGTTTTCTAGTCTCTTCCCCCATGGGGCTGCCCAGGGCCCGCAGGAACTGTGTGTGGGCCAGACACTGCTGGGCCAGAGGGCACGATACCTACATGGGCCCCTTTTGCCCAGGCCGACAGTTGGCTGCAGAGCCCCCTAGCGCAGGCACGAGCTCTCCCCTCGGGTCCTGAGCAGCACCCCCAGCAGGGCCGGTGGGCGGGGGCTGGGGGGCCGCTGCCTCACTGAGGTCCTGCAGCAGAGCTTGCAGCCGCTGCAGGCTGGGGTGCACATTCTCCTGCAGCCACTCCTCCACGGCGTCCGGGTAGAAAGCCAGCTGCAGGGCGGCCTCCAGCTCCTGCACAAGGGTGCTCCACTGCGCCAGGAGGCTGGGGGTGAGGGCGCCGTGGGCACACGGCATGCATACTTGGGACCTGCCCCCAACCCTGTGGTCAGTACTGCCTCATGCCTGTTTACCTTGTGTAAAATGGGGCTACTGTCCCTATCTCATCTGTTTTGGGAGGAACACGTCAGTGACAGCTGCACATCTGAGCCCAGAAGCCCACCCCTCACCCTCCTCCGCTTTCACTCTAGCTGAGGGACGTGCAGCAGTCACTGGGAGACCCACAGCTGCAGGGCCTGCGAGAGCCGGGCCTCACCTGAGTGCTGCGGGCTGGATGTGCTGGACCATGACCGGGTGGATGAGCTTCCGCTGGCGGTGGTAGGGGCTGAACCAGCCGGTTACGTACCTGGGCAAATCCACATACAGGTGTGCCATGCTACCAAGGCAGCCATGGGGCGGTTTTATAGTAATACCTCAGAAAATGCGTAAAAACTGGATAGACATTTCTAAGTCTTACATCCCCCAGGAAGTCTTTGTGAAGGATGAGGTTGCCTCCTCCTGTGCTGGGGTGGGGGGGGGCTTGTGCACCTGCCTTCACCTGCACCTGTCTCTGCCTGCCCACCTGCACCTGCCTCCCACCCACCTCCCACCTCCACCTGCCTGCTCAACGGCAGCTGCCCCCCTGCCCCCCGTCACCCACACCTGCCCCCTCACCGACACCTGCCTCATGCCTGCCTGCTCCTGCACCTGCCCTTCCCCACCCACATCTGCCCGCTCACCTGCCCCCCACCCACACCTTACCCACACGCTCACCTGTTGCCCTCCAGCAGCATGTCCACAGAGCTGCGCAGATGGAGGCTGACTTGTGTGACAAGGGCAAGGATGCTTCTGCCAGGGAAAGAGCCGGCCCCCTCCCTGCAGAGAGCCCTGCTGAGAACAGCCTTCCCCAAGGGAGGCGGAAGGGGAGAGGAGGGCGGGGAGGGGGAGGGCCTCGGGGTACTTGCCTCACAGGGTCTGTTATTTCCAGGCTGGAAATCCCGAGAAGGTTCTCCATTTTTGCTTTAACATCTTCATCAAACCCTCCTGAAATCAACCACAGGCAGGGCGGTTGGGGGGTCTTTGGAGGAGAGGCGGTTACACTGGCACTGGGACCTGCAGGCCTGGGGGCCGGGGCAGAGGTGGGCAGCACGGAGAGCCACGGGCCAGGCCCCGGCCCGAGTGTGCTGGCCAAGGGGACCTGGGGCAGACAGGCCTGCTGCTTCTCTTTAAACACGTGAAATATGTTCCTTATTTTTTAAAACAAGAAAACAGAAATAAGACTCTGTTGCCAGCAGCACCAGCCAGAGAGCAAGTGGCCCTTTCTGCTGGGCGCAGCCTGACCCGTAGGTGTCCAGGGCTCACAGAGTTTGCCACTGTGGTTTACACAACCAGTGCAATATCCCGGAGCACCTGAAACAAACCCATGAGGCCTGCGGGCACTGGGAGGACACACCTCCCAGTGTCCGAGGAAATACTCGCTGTGAAAGGCTGGTGGCCGGAGGGCAGTGCCCAGTCACAGGGGTGGCAGGTGGGGCCGTGGCCAAGGGACACTGCAAATACCATCAGTATTAACACAGCTCCTTAGTGTGCGGCACGTGTGTCTGTTCTAGCATTTCCGCCCCTTTCTACTTGTTCTAAGTGGTTCAGTCAGCAGCTGAGAAGTCTGTGTCCTCTCACTGGCCCACCCCCGTCTGGGCTGCCAGCCTGTGGGCCCCACTCTCAGTGCACAGGCACCACACAGTGGCCATAATTCCTGTGTGGCCGCATGGCTCACCTCGCCACGCCCCTGCGACCCCGAGGGGCACCCTGTGCCTGCCCCTGCCTGTGGGTCCTGTTGTCCCCTCAGGCGACCTGGAAGTGAACGCTGGGTCCAGGGCCTTCCAGGGCTGGAAGCTGAGCCCCACACCTGCTCAGCCAGGTGTTCAGGACGTTTCTGCAGCAAAGGTAGAGCTGCTCCTCCCCACGTCCGACCTCTGCATGCATTTCTGCGGGTTCACTGTGTTGAGGGGTGCACCCTGAGAACTCTCCAGTCTGCTTTGGGCTTCAGCTTGGAGATCGGGCACAGGCCCAGCCTGGGTGGACTTCAGGGCAGGCGGGTGGCTGAGCTGGGGTAGTGAGACCGCCCTCCCCGTGAGAACCACCACAGTCCAGCAGGGAGTTTGGAGCACTGGGCACTTGGCCTCCTGTCCTTCAGGTCTTTCTGGGAGGAGCCAGCGGGGCTTGGGGTGGCCACACCAGACGTACCCCGTAGAAGCAACTGCAGACAGGCGGCCAGGGACGGGACTCCTGCAGGGAGCAGCTCACACAGCACAGAGAAGTGGTCGTACCTGGGTCCATGAGAGGGGTGCTCAGCTCCACG